GGTTCAACATTAAAACAGATTGTTATTGAGGAATAACAGTGAGGTTGTGGTACTATCAACACCATGACCATAATTTCGATTAGTGGATTTAATCGTAGGTCACATCGTGATCTACCAATGAATATCTTCGTAGCACCTCATATGGTAGTGCACTATCTGGGATGGCGGACGCTTTTTATCTCCGTTATTATGTTGGACATAGAGGCAAATTTGGTCATGAATTTTTAGAATTCGAGTTCAGACCGGATGGTAGGTGTATACTGGAGTCATTTTACGCTTAGGTAAATTGCGTTATGCGAATAACTCTAACTACAAAAATGACACAATGATTCGAAAGGAGGTAGCGAGATTTATGCGTGCTACATGCTTTAGGCCACCGTCAGCAAAGCGGTTATGGAAGAACTGAAGCGAATAATCATTGACAGTGACATAATGAATGAGGATGATGCCAACTGGCCCACTCCGGATCGTGTTGGCCGCCAGGAGTTGGAGATTGTATGTGGAGATGAGCATATTTCCTTCACGACCTCGAAAATAGGATCCTTAATTGAAATCAATAACTGCAAGTAAGTTTTTTCCTTCTCTTCACTCTTGCTAGGGACCCTGGAGGATTGCACACATTCTACTACTTGGTACAGGATTTGAAATGCTTAGTTTTCTCCCTCATCGGACTTCACTTTAAGATAAAACCCATATAACTAACCCTTGGACGAATGAGCTCGCATTGTGCTTTTAAAGTTTATTTTTTAAATTGTGAGTCTTACCAACCAATGTACCTTTCGTTTATCAGTGTCCGTAAGCTCGTTCGTAAAGAAATGATATGCTGCACTTACTCTTAGTGGATGGCATTTTAGCTTTATTTGTGTATGCTTGTTACAAACTCCTGTGGCTCCTTTGAGGTTTAAATATCGTTTAATTTTGTCGTTGTACCTTCAGCGCCATTATTGAGTGGCATTTTTTGGGACATTGAAGTAGTCCTAATTTTGTCAAATTGAAGTTGCGAAAAGCAGATGCTAGGGTTTCTCAAAGCAAAGAGGAATGTAACGCTCTTAAAAGGTAAAAGCTGTTGATGCGACAGGGGGCGGCTTTTGACTGCATAAGGAGTTGATACTTCCTGACCGAGAGGTTCGAAATTGAATTCAAACCATCGGATCTGATGCAGCGAAAATTTATTTATTAGCAAATTGAAGCCTTAGTTATGGAACCACGGTACCAGTAAATAGCGTCGATTTGATTCCATATGACGCACCTCCATGCACCTACGACAAGGGATCGGCGTAGGAATCGCTGTCATTCATTTCGTGCTTTTGATCCATAACCTAAAATGCAAGCCAGTAGGTAAGTTTAAGGCGATAAAATTATTGGAGTTGCATTTGGTTACATCGCAGGCAGCACTAGACTTCTATTGGTGCTTTATCAAAGCGAATTTTTGATTGCTCTGCATTTTCTTCCCATTATGTATTAAACAAATGGCTGATTCATACTTCAAGT